ACAAATTGCTCAGTGTTCGCTGTGTCGGGTTGAAGTTATGCAGGTTGAAGATGTGTTTTTTGTGTGCAACTCTGATTTCAAATTCGATTTCCTTTTCCCTTTCTAACCCCTTGACATATTCAAATAGCCAAATGAGGGCGTCTTCCTGATCTTCCTTGCCTGTTCCTTCGGCTGCTTCCTGATCTCTTCCTATGTGTGTATTTTTCTGTGCAGAGTCCTGTGACATGTTATCGTCTGTCATCCCTTCGTCTTCTTCCTCGTTCTCTTTTCCACCCCCCTGTTCACCTCTTCCTTTTGAGGAGTCCGTTTCATCTCCTTCCTTTATCATTTCTTCTCCTTCTTTGCTGCAACCTTCTTCGGTTCCTCGCTGTTTTTTCCCTTTGCTGTCTGCATTTCTTCCTTCTTCTTCCTCCTGACCTTCCTGATTTTTGTCAGTATCTGTGTCTATGTCCTCTGTTGCTGAGTCTGGTCCTTTGAGCTTGCTGCCTTTGCCTTGTGATGTGATGTGTGCAGGCGAGTTCGGGGGGGATTGGTTGACTTTTCTTTTGAGCCTTTTGTGTGAGCTATTGGTTGTGCTGTCCTCTTGTGGTGTCTCGGATTCCTTGGTGACCTGCGAGGGTTTTTGTGTTTTGGTTGCTTGTAGGATCTTGTCTCTTGCCTGCAGATTCTCAAAAAAGGCTTTTTCTGTTGAGCTGCCTGTTTTGATCAATTTTTGCAGGGTGTCTTTCCTGTGCTTGTCCTCCATAATCCCTTGCGTGTCCAAAATTTGCTTTTTCAGGTATCCGCCTTCCTTTTCTTCGATTTTCCTCGCCCTCTTTGTTTGCCATTGGCTGCCGTGTGGTGGGTATACATCCTGTTGGACAGATGTTTCACTCTGCAGTGTCCACACCCATTTTGGGTCTTCCAACCTGTCATCGAAGACCCATCCTCGGTAGGTAGGGTCATCGATGAACCACAGACCTGTCATTGTCTCACACTCGACCAGATTGGCTTGGATCTGGCCCGGCTTCCCTGCTCTATCCCTATTTAGTGGGCAATTCCTGTCAGTGCCCAGGTGACCTTTTCCTCTGCACTTGAAGCATCGTGGATTGGATTTGGTGGAGAGGAACACTGTCAGTTTCTGACCATTTGATTTTTGGAATAGCCATGTATCTGGGAACTGGGGTGGAATGCCTAAAGGAACTTCAAGACATGCAATTCTGGAATCATGATTGTGCCAGAAATTCAGGGCCTGAAGCCAGCCATTCAATGACAGGGTTGTTTGGATATGCTTTCGGCAGTCTGTGTTCCACAAAACTGTACAGGTCCTCTGCGATGTTGTCAAACTGAATCCAGAAATGGTTCCGCAGCATGGTTTATCTGTGTCTTGAGGCATCGGGCTGCGGTGCTCGTCTGGGTTTCTAGTTCGTACCTGTGACCACTCCTTTCCTGCATTTGAGACTGTTCAAGGAGATTGGATAGCGTGCATAAGTTTTATCTGGAGTGACAATCACGACTGTGTTGCGCGCTCGTTTGTGGTATGTGACATCTGGTTCCGTGCCAGGAATTTCCTCAAGGGATCTGATGATGTCTCGGACCCAGGATCGTTTTTCGTTCGGGGACATGTCAGCGCATTTCTGTGGGAAATTAAACAATGCTGCGTGCTTGTTAAAAACTTCCGCACAATTGCATTCATCCTCCTCCTGATATTCCCATATCTCTACGTGCTCTTCTCCTTCTCCTTCATCTGATGGGATCGTCTGTTTGATGATGTTTACTTTGGATTTGATCTGGGTGCTTGAGATGAGAAAACCCATTGCCTTTTGGCCTAAGGATTTCGAGGCGGAGTCAAACGTTGAGGATTGCGAACCTTTATGTGAGTTATCCGACAGTTGTGTTTGTGTTCCCAAGGGTGGATGTGCCTGGTCTTGTGGTTGTCGTCCTGGAGTGGGCTCATCCCCTGGGTTCATGGGGTTTATCGGTTTCTGCTGCGTGGGCCCTTTCCTTAGTGTCTCTGCGTATGAGATCGCCATGTTGTGCTGGTACCCTGATAGCGTAGGTGCAACTCTGTGACTTTGTTTACCAGGGTAACTTACGTGGAGAGAATCAGCGTATGGCTTGTCTGTTCGGTCTTCAAAGTTTTGGCCCTCTTGGGGATCGTTTGGAGACAAGGGAAAAATCTTCTTCTTCCTTATCGGGGTGATCCTCCGCGTTCCCATTGGGAAGAAATGCTTGAAAATTTCGATAGATTAGAGTAATAAACAAACAAAATCTTTCCTCCGAATTGCAATGTTAGGATATTAGCCAAATAATGATCAATTATTTATTACATTCACCAAATAATGAATAATGAATAATGAATAATGAATTGATAATCAATTTATTTGAATTAATTACCAAGACAATCAGTTGTAGTATGTAAGCTTAATAGATACAATTAAAGGATTTCAAATGATATTATCGGGAGAATTAGATCATCTACCTGAGCAGGCTTTTTATCTTGTAGGAGATATAGAAGTTGCGAGAAAAAACACGCAATGTGTGATTCAGCGGATTGGGCTATTATGCTATTTGCTTCCCTGTTGGGATCGTGTCTACTCGCCTGGCTGGTGGGTGGACAATGTCTTTGTGTACTAAACGGGGGGAATGGTCGGTTTGTGCGGTGTGTCTGTGCACTCAACAGGGAGCAGGGGGCAGCTCTGGAAGGTAGGCGTGAGATAATATTGTGCTGTGAGCGATGAGGTTAGGGGGTAAGAGTCGTTCGCTGGGGGTGTGAATGAGAGAGTTGAATAATAATGCTAAATAAATCCGCGAAATAGGGAAATCAAGGTGGGCCAGCTTTCGAGTGGGTGGATGAGAGAATTGAATAATAGTGTAGCTGAGGCTTGCGTCCGTCAGATGCCTGCCTTAGCTTGGGATTGTGATATGCTGTGCAGACTGGCGGTAGTGGGTTGGGTGGAGGTTTGGGATACGTCGTTTTGTGTGGTGAATACACGTAGTGCAAGGGTTGGGCCGGAGGAGTGGGAGGTGAGTGAGGTGTTGGGGTAGATGCGTGTGCAGTGGGAGATTGAGGTTGTGTGCGGTTACGACAGGGCCGGACAACGATTATGGTGAGCTCCAAACAAGGCTTTGTACCTCACTACAAAACCTTATTTGTCCAAAAAGGACGCTGCACATATGTCTCTTCTTCCACACTTGGTACAAGCGTCGACAGAAGCAAACAAAACTTGCATTCCTATTTGCACCTTTCCGTCTGTCCTATGCTATCTGAATACTCGGTGTAGGGTTAGAAATTGGTCACTACTGTGATTAGAAATTGTAAAAGAACTACGAATCCTTGAGGCCGACAAATATTACTGTTCCTCTATACTATAATCGAAAAATGAGGATGATAGTTGATCAACTTCCTTCCTGAACGAGGCCTTGCGCTCCCTAGAGGAATCCAAAATTCCTTGATGTGCCCTTGTCCTTTCGCTGTACTTCGCACACGCTGAGGTCGTAGTGTGGATGAACGGAGAGACTTACCATGTTAATGAATGGGGCCTGTCTGACCTTATGCGCGGCGGAGTTGCGCCCCTGAATTCGTTGCCGCTCGCTGTTCCTGTGTAACACTTGTAGAGTGCTACAGCCTTGTGTCCTCTTCGATTCTCTTCGCTCCTTTCCTTATTCGGTAGGGACCCACTCTCTTTGTCGTTTCCTCTCCTCTCCACGTACTGAACCTTGGTCTTCCTTTCCCTCGCTTGTTCAGGTAATCTCTCTCCTTGTTACCTCCCTTCCATTCCCCGTCTCTTCCCACGCCTCGACTGTGCTTGGTTCAGTGTTGTTTTAGTGAGAGAATTCCTGGATTATGCCTCCTTGTTTCTAGATTGTCCCCGACACTCGATATTCCTCCCTTTTCATCACACTTCCTTCTCCATCTTTTGCCTCCCTTTGTCTTTTCCTTTCTTTAGCTTTGCGACTCTGTTTCCCTCACTCCCTCTCGTCTTCCGTCACTTCCCTTCCCTTACCTTGCTCGAAGGAGCCACACCTGAAGGTGTGGCGTGACTTGCTGCGTGTGGTTTCTCACCTATCCACTCTCTTTCCCGCCCGGAATCAAAGCTTCGAAATGGAAAGGGTGCACGGTTCACCTGTGGGCCAGGCGCATTTGCGAGCGTTAGCGGATGCGCTCACCGGTACGGCGAGGTCGCGTTCTCCTTTACTACCCAACCTTCATTTACGGGAAGGTCCCTTTTGGCGGCCCCTGCTGTGCGACAAAGAGGCCTGGAGCCTGGCAGTAGGATATCAGGTAGGTCATCATGGTACGAGGACTGTATCACGTCTAGTTCAGGTCTAGACTCGGGGGCTGTAGGTATGATTATGATCTGCCATGATGTTCCCACTAAAAGGGGCAGGGAACTGGTAGGCCTAGTGAACCTGGGTGAGGAGGCTAAGGCGGAAGCTGCATTGGATGGCCCTGGATGCAGACCAGTAGGACCTCTGGTATGTCCAACGTAACCCTGGAGCAGGGTCGCATAGAGCTACAGCACTTAGTTCGACACCTGGCTGTTGGAAAGCAGCACTGGATTGGCACACCAGAGTTAGCGAAGTGTTAGACGAGATAGGAGGAGAGAGGCGATAATGGAGGTCTGCAGTGGCATTGGACAGAGAAGCACTCACCCTGGCACCGTAACTTTGAGACTGTGCACTGGTTATGGACGGAGTTTACTTCTCCCTTCAACAGTTCGAGGCAGCCTCTTATCTGGGGGACGAGAGAGAGAGAGAGAGAGAGAGAGAGAGATGACAACCAACAGAGTTGGATAGAGGAGGGGCATATAGACAAACAGTCTTGCAGTTGTCCATTTCTTCTTTTGCCGTTTCTTCAACTTTCTTGTCCTTTATTTGAATGTAAGCTTTGCATCATGAATGATATTGGAACATGGCACGTCCCTGGTATCAATGTAATGTCCTACCCTATCACTTCATGGTTTGGTGAAGATAAGTTACTAACATGTGTAAATGCGCTCTGTGTGTCATGACGACAGAAGGACTTTTATGAACTCCTTATGCGTGCAGCCTCTGATTGCCAGTACTTAAGGGCAGCCATTGAAGATGTGCAGTGGGCACAGAACTACAACGAGCCACCATCTTCATACTCGGTACGACATCCCAGTTACTTTTAGTAGCAGTCTGTGATTTGGTCCTCCTGGAACAATCTCTCTCTCTCTCTCTCTCTCTCTCTCTCTCTCTCTCTCTCTCTCTCTCTCTCTCTCTC